GGGTTTATGGTATAGGGTTTAGGGTTTAGGGTTTATGGTATAGGGTTTAGGGTACAGGGTTTTAGGGTTTAGGGTTTAGGGTTTAGGGTTTAGGGTTGAGGGTTGAGGGTTGAGGGTTTAGGGTTTAGGTAGGGCCCTGAAGAAGGAGAACAGGGTTTTATCAGGGTTTTGTCGTGTTTTTAGCGGTGTATCAGGGTTTTTAAAAGAGGTCCTAAAAGGTGTTAGAATACGGACTTTATAAGTGTTTTATAGGTTGTTAAACGGGTTCTAAACGAGTTTGATAAGAATTTGGGTCAGGGTTGTATAAGGGTTCTTTAAGATGTTGAGAAGGGCGCTGCGCGGGATTTATGGCGGTTTTTAAGGATAGGGGCCGTCAGGGATTGGATAGACTATCAGCTTCTACTCAAGGAGCGGGGATGATACGACGAATCTCTATATTAAGACGTCCGGACTCATGGCTCGGGCTTGGTGGGTGTGCATAGGAGTGGGCGTGCAGGCTCCAGGAGTTTCGGATCAGGCTTCATTCAGCCACCACTAAACTTCTTCACAAGTAGGATCGTGGGGCCCCTGGGGATAGAAAATCCAGCTTCCACGCTCTTCATCTTTATAGTTTCACTCGTAAACAAGATCCGGACCCTTACGCCGCATAAACGCTTAAGGAAGGGGAAGATATTCCACTATGAATGAATGCAGAATGTTGAACGCGGAACGTCGCTACTGTATCTGCTGCTTTGCAGCTCTAACAGTATCTAAGCTTTTATAACTCATGGGTTTTGACTGGAAAGGCTGGGCCATGGGCCCTAAGACCACTCTGTGAATCTGCGCAGCACCTTCAAGATCTCACTAGAACCTTCAATCCGCAAACCCGAACCTGAAACGCTGAAACCCTGAACCCNNACCCTAAACCCTAAATTTCCCTTAAAGGCCAACATCCTGAAGGTTCCGACACTTTGAAGTTCTGGGGCCTGGGTGTGGCGCTGCTCCCTGCGAGCAGATCTGGAAGTTCTCCTCGGTCGCTGTTTAGGTTTGCTGCACGGGGCTTCGGATTTCGGATTTCGGGCTTCGGGTTCAGGGTTNNGGGTTTAGGAGTTGTTTAGGGTTTAGACTTCAGTGGGGTTTAGTGTTTAGGATCTTCGGTTTAGATTTAGGCTTCAATGCTCGGGGTTTAGGGTTCAGGGTACTCGAATAAGCCTCTATGCCCCTGAAAACCTGACACCCGTAACCATGCCCGAACCTCCCCAAACCCTAACCCACAAACCGAACCCGTAGAGATCCCTTATAGTTCACCAAGAACCCTCATAGATCCTTTATAGATCCCCTGTAGTTCATTAAGAACCCTAAACCCTAAACCCTAAACCCCTAAACCCCTAAACCCTAAACCCTAAACCCTAAACCCTAAACCCTAAACCCCTAAACCCCTAACCCCTAAACCTCAAGTCGGAATTTGCAAAAACAGGCAGAGC